GACACGCGTGGAGCAGGTCCCCAGGGAGGGGTCAGCAGGGTCCCGGCTGCCACACCGCGCGGGTGTGCGGGGAACGTGGGTCTGGGGTCTGGCTGCGTGGAAGGGAAAAGGCAGAATTCCATGGAGTGCTGCTCAGATTCACTGGTTTTCTTTTCCCTCGTGTTTTTTTTTTTCCCTTCTTGAGTAATTTCAAACGAGCAGGGTCTGTTTAAATACTGATGCAAACCAGCTTTCCAACAGTAAAAGGTTGCACGTGTTGTTTGTCTCTTGTGTTTTGTTTTTGGTGGTGGTGTTGTTTTTTTTTTAATCCCTGTGGTATTTTTAATTTTCTCAAAGTAGCCCCAGATCTGTTGGCTTTTCCCGTTACCATTAGTGGGAGCTTTGGTCAAGTAGTTTTGATTCCTTGTTGTGCTTTAAGTCTTGTAAAAACAGTCCAGGAGGCAGAGAGGCTGGAGTGTGGGTGCGTTTTGAGCAGTGTTTTACCCCTTGCCTCACTGCCCCAGGGTTAACAGCAGCCTGTCCAGCGATGAGCTCCTGGTGGAAGACCTGGAGACAGAAGGAGAAAGGCAGCTGAAGAGCCTCCTGCACCACCAGCTTGATACCACAGCCTCCATCGAGCAGTAAGTCCTGACCTGGCCCTGGGGGAGCGGCTGGAGGGGCTGCTGAGGGGGGTCTGGCCATGTGAGGGGCAGCAGTGTGGACTTGAGGATCTTCAGAGGTCTCTTCCATCCCTTATGATCCTTGGAAGAGGGTTAGGAGAATATGGCTCAGGTGTGTTTTGGAAACCTGGCATCTCTGCTGAGGAGCAACAGGACCAGGCCTGGCTGCGGGGAGAGGCCAGCCTGGTTTCTGAGTGCTGAGTTGTTTCCTCTTCTTCTGTTGCTTTGGGTTACAGGTGCAAGTCAAAGCGGAGATGTTTTGCTCCTGCAGCTTTTTACAAGCCTTTTGGGGAAGAGGCTGCAGGGGCTTTGACCCTGTCACAGTTCCAGGCCCTGCAGGAGAGCGACAAAGAAACCGCCTCCCTCCGGGAGCTGGGGCTCTCCGACTCAGAGATCCTGCTTTGGAAGAACAGGGCTTCAACAGGGAAGGTAGGAGTGCTCTGCTCTGATAGGAATGTGGTCAGGCCCCTCTAACTCCACAGCCTGTGGCACCTTGATAGGAAATTCAAGTCCTTTTTAAGCTCTCTGGGAGAAAATCGCCACTCTGTGTGTCTCTTGCCTTTAGGCCAGCGTGATCCCACATCTCTGCTGGCCTGTTTTCTGTGGTGGAATTGTCTGTGCTAAAAGCTGTGGTGGGGAGACGAGCTGATCTTTTGGAACACAGCAGGACATGACTGCATCCCTGCCTCTGCCTTGATGGTCTCAAGCAAATCATTTCACATGTATGTAGCTGTGTAAGAAGGATTTAAAGGCCAGAGAAGGAAAAAGAGGAAACATTTCAGAGTCCCTCTACCTCCTCCTTTCTGTATTCTGACACATCTCTGGCTCCTAGGGCTGGCTTGGGACAGCTGGCTGTAGGGAGGCTTTTGTACATTCTCCTCAGGGGCTTGCAGATGCTTCAAGGGACTGAAAACAGCTATGTAGAAATAGCAGTGCAGAGCTGTTAGACCAAGTGTGCTCCTCTTTGAGTGCAGTTTGCAGAGCAGTGCCACAGCAGGTTTCTCCCCTTCTCCCACTTTCACGTTCCAGGGACAAGGGTCTTTTGTATCAGGTGCACTGGAGTCTCCTGCTCTTAACTTGGTAAGCCTGAAAGTGCAAAACAGGACTTGGGCTGACTCTTGGCTTCCCTCTGTCTCTCCTCTTCTGAGCAACAGTTGTGTGCAGGAGGAAGCAGTTTGTGGTAATCTTCTCCCACTTTCACGTTCCAGGGACAAGGGTCTTTTGTCTCAGGTGCACTGGAGTCTCCTGCTCTTAACTTGGTAAGCCTGAAAGTGCAAAACAGGACTTGGGCTGACTCTTGGCTTCCTTCTGTCTCTCCTCTTCCTGAGCAACAGTTGTGTGCAGGAGGAAGCAGTTTGTGGTAATTATGGTTTTGCCTCTCTTTGGTTGAAGTCATTACTTGTTTAGGTGTTTAAATACAAACACAGCCCTGGTGTGGCCTGCATGAAAGCTTGGGGTGGTGTTCATTTAAGAATGAAAATTGATGTCAGCAGTACCAGCTGTTGTCTTTGGCATGAAGTCAGTTCTGGGATTTTTAAAAATAAAGATCAGCATGGAAAACACTCTGAGAGAAGGAACCAGTAACATTAGGGTACATCATCTACAGCTCATGAGAGAAGATGACTAGTTAGAGAGAAAGCCCCAGTCAGGTAGTGATGTACAGCTTGGGATGTGGAGGCCCTGGGTGAGATTCCACCAAGGAGGAATCAGCTGAGACAGAGAGGACTTCAGGTTGCCCAGGAAGCTCTCAACAAAGAGAGCTGCTATTTTCAGCTGTTAAGTTGCAGCTTTTTTGAAAACAAAGTGCTACAAATTATTTCCTGGATTTGCTTTTTCATGTAAACAGCATTTTGTGCCCCAGGGAAGCTGTGAATTGGTGAATGGAAGCCGTGCAGATGTGAGCTCCTGCAGCCAGGTGGGAAGGGAGAGGTACCCATGGGAAAATCTTTGTTAGATTGTGCTCATTGCAGGGAGAGAGCCTGGTTTCTTGCCTCAGGCAGAAGGATCTGCCACAGTAATACTTGGACTAAATTTGAGACAAGCAAATCCACCTACAGCTCCATTAAAGGGTGTTTTCTGGATTCTGATAGAGGTGGAAGAGGAACAGAAACGCCCCTCCAGAGGTTGGGGTGTGTCTCTGTGCTTTGGCAGCAGAGTCTGGTGAGTTTCAGCAGTGCCCTGGCCCCTGCAGTGAGGTTTATTTATTCAGGAATGCTCACTTGTAGCTACCTTAGCTATGAGGTCTGTGCTGCAGTAGCTGGGTGGTTTCTGGGAGGTGGTTCATGTGGAGCTGGTCAGGGGGTTAGTCCTCAGCATAAGCTGATCCTCAGGTGCCAAATGTCAGCTTGGGATCCACTTTTCAGCAAATGAGGTTTTCTCAGTGATGTCAGGGCCACAGTCCAAAAGCTTGGTGGAAACTCGACCTCAGGGAGGGATGCTATAGGCATGGCAAAAGAAATACCCAAGGGGGCTTATGCAGTTACACTAGGTAACTTAGAAAATGGCTATAGCTGGCCCGGGCAGGGTCTGCTGGGACAGGGGGACACGGGGACATCAGGCAGTGAGGCCAGGGGATAGAAAGCAGCACAGAAAGGTCAGGAGAAAGGCTTTGTTTGCTCAGTTCTCTCAAGAACTGAGGGTTGCTGAGTGGTTCTATCTCTGTGCTACCCTTGCAGTGACAGGACCTCTTGGTGACCTGTTTCCTGGGGTCCGGTTCCTAGTTACACCCCCTCCCAGGTTTGGAGGATGCAAAGTTGGACTGATGGCTGAGTCTTTGAAGGCATGTGTCATATCTGAGCAAAACCGTGCCTGTCTTCCAGGGCTCTGGGCTGGGGGCAGCCCCAGAGGCCACGCAGGACCGG